ATATGTAATACTTTCAGATGATGATGACAAATCTTTGTGGAGAAATAACCAAAGTCTAAAAAACTTCATTTATATTGTTTTTTCTTAAAGATATATTTTCTTCAAACATGCTTAATCAATTTAGTTGAACTGAATATAATAATAATAATATACTAATAATTAGTCTTTCCTATCTGCTATATCTAAATTAAATGTATGATCTATGCTATATTCGCTTGCCTTATCCACGGACATTTCCCGCAACAATGGAAAGAAGCTATGGTGCTCATGTTCGCCAAACCGGGGAAAGACCCAACCCTTCCAGGCCCACCAGACCCTGATTAACCAAACAAACCAACGTCTTCGCATCTCGTTGCATTGCTAAAGAAAACTATTGTTAAACTATTACTATATTACTATATAACTATTCAACTTATGCTATATTTAATATTTTCTGCAAATTTATTAATTCTATAATAATATGAATATTATGAGCAATATCTATGACTGGTCCAAATTTTCTCAATAATTGATTTTTTTAATTCATTCCATGTATTAAAATTATTCCCTTTCACTAATAATTCTGCTTCTTGTCTTAAACTTGAAAAAATTATTGATATAAGTTGTTCTTCTATATTTAATATAGATTTGTCTCTAAATTAGCTATTGTTTCGTTATAAAACTTAAATTTTCTAAGTATATATATATATGTATATATATAATAACTTTATTGCCAATATATCTCGACAGTACAAATTTATCATATTATGTCCGATTATATAAAGAAAGATGTTCTTGTAATCTATACCGGTGGAACCATTGGCATGACCAAAAATGAAGGAGGTATATATAACGTACAAACAAAAAACAATGTTTGTTATGTCTCATCCTAGTTTTAACTCCTTCGAATAAATTCATCGAGCGAATAAAGAATACTACGGATTTGCATGACGAAAGTTTGGCAAGAAATTATTTCAATGAAAAGATGCAAGATAATATTTTCATCACACGGTAAGTATAACATTTTCTTGTGTATGTGTTTTTAATTAATATTTCTTTTATTTAGTTTCTATGGAACAGTTATTAAATATAAGATCTATGAGTACAAACCGTCATTGGATACTACCAATATGTCGCTGGAGGAGTGGAAGCGTATCGCCATTGACATTGGGGTAATTATGACATGATTTTCATTATTTCCTCTTAACTATAGAATTGTCTTTCGCAGGAAAACTATGAAAAATACGATGGGTTTGTGGTCCTACACGGAACTGACACCCTCATTTATGCTGCTGCATATTTGAGTTTCATGTTAGAGAACTTGGACAAGACTGTTATAGTCACTGGAGCACAGGTATAAAACAACATGATATCAAATAATAATTTCTCATAATTTTATTTTCATCTCATAAGATTTCCATTTTCGAGGAGGATAACGACAACCAACAATCAACAACGAAGGCGGACGAAGGTTCTTCGGACGGTGAAGAGCACGTTCCACCCGAGCCAGGAGAAAAAAAGAAGAGAATCAAGAAAAAAACAGAGATAAACATCCCAATTCAGGGGACAAAAAAAGCAAACACGCGGCAAATCCAGCAAAAGCAAGTAAGTGCGGAGAGTTGCAGTATAAGCAGCGGTAGCAACATGGATATAAACAAAATACATGCTGAGTTGGTGGAATACAAAGCAAAAATCGCCAGCTTAGAAAACATTATTATGAAACAGCAAGAATTGCTTAACGAACAAGGTTCATTGCTTTTGGAACAACAACAACCGCAGCAGCAGCAACAACAACAGCAGAAACAAAAACAACAGAAGAAAAATAGCGGTAATGAGCCAACGTGACTACTAGTAAATAACCCGTACTCTGTTTTAGCAAGTCTGCCAAACGCCTCGGAAGAGTCCCAGCCGAAAGTCACATCAAATATTACAAAAAAACCTAAAACCACACCAAAGCCACCTTCCGTTTTTCATTCGAGACGTGGATGATATCAATAAACTCCTCAAGGACTTTGATACCGCTGGGAAGAACGCGTACACACTTAAATTGGTTGCGAAAAATTAGGTGAAGGTACAAGCGATTGGTACCAATGACTTCGAAAAGATTAGCGCGCTAATCAAAGAGAAAAATATCCCATGCCACTCCTACCAGAAGAAAACTGAACGCTCCTTTAGGGTCGTATTAAGAGGTATGCATTCCTCATGCAATACCGAGGACATAAAGAAGGAAATTGAGTCCTACGGCCATACTGTACGGAATATCAGTAACATAAGGAGTAGCAGGGACTCGAGCAAACAACTTCCTATGTTTTTTGTTGAGCTGAAGCATGCAGAAAACAACAGGGACATATATAATGTTGTGTTTTTGCTGCACCAAAGTAGCAGCAGTGTCTTCGGTGCCAATGCTATGGACACACAA